GGGGAGGGGGCGGGGGCGCCGCGCACGCGCAGAGCCGGCGGCGCGCGCCGAGCGGGGGGCACCGCGCGGGTGCAGCCACGATGGAAGGGGGTGCGTACGGAGCGGGCAAAGCCGGGGGCGCCTTCGACCCCCACACCCTGGTCCGGCAGCCGCACACCATCCTGCGCGTCGTGTCTTGGGTAAGGACGGCTGGGTGGCCCGGCCGCGCGGGGGGTGGGGTGCGGTGGGGGCGCGGGCAAGGGCGGCGCGCCCGGACGGACCCCGACCCCGCGGGACCCCGGGCACGCGTGCCGCAGCCGGCGGAGAGCCTTCCGACCGGGGTGCCGGCGCCCGCCACCCCTTCCTTCCCGGGCCCCGGGCGGGGGGTGGGGGTTCCCAGCGCTGGCGGAGCGGGGGGAGCTCCCGCCCCTGCTGCCGTAGCCCTTGATTCCCGGCGCCCCCATTCGCGTGCGGCCCCCCATCGCCGTGACCTCCAGGCCGCGGCTGTGCAGCTCGCGGCTCGGGTTGCGCGCGGCCACCCGGGCGGATCAGCGGCCGTGGGGACGAAGCCCGGGTTTCAGGTGGCCGTTTGGGGGGGGGGGGGGAAGAGGTGGATCAGGGCGTGGATCATCTCACGGGGCGCACGCCGCGCCTGCCGTGGACGTTCCAGGAGGACAGGGCCGGAAACCGGGTTTTGTGGCTTGGCCCGGAAGGTGTGGAGCGATGCGTCGGGAGCCGGATACCTAGGTGGCTTGCTCGGGGACTGCCTCTCCTTCGCGGCGTGACCTTGGGCTGGGAACCACCCAAGAAATGTTAGCGGGAAGCGAGGAGTTACATCCCGACGTGGGGAGAGGCAGCTCCTCTCTCATGCCTCAGTTTCCCGGTTTGTAGAGAGGTGGCAGCGGCCACCGTGGGCTCTGATATTTCCTGAATCCGTGACAGCACTTCCCCCCCCCCCCCCCCCCCCCCCCGCAAATACCCCGGGTTGTTTTGGGGGGGGGGGGGGATTAGGGGAAAGCAGAGGGGATTGTTCTGGATCTCCAGCCTGACAGGGGTCAGAATGCCCCAGCAGCGGGGGGTCCCTGCTCAGACCTGGGGTTGTGGGGGAGGAGGATGGTACAGAGACAGTGAGCACAGAGGGAGGGGTTCATGTGGTCTGGGCGGCACCCCAGGGAAAGAAGCCTGCTGCAGGAGAGGGGTGCCTGGGGCTCCCTAGGGTTTTTTGGCCATTGCCCAGACACTCCCACCAGAGGGTCTGGCCTCTGCAGGCCTGGGGCCTATTCCTGCGGGCCCACACCAGAAGGTCTTGGGCTTGGGGACGCTGGGCAGGGTCACTGTCAGCCACCCCAAGGGGCTACGTCTGAGGTCAGCTGTGGCCTCAGGGTGCTCAAACCCCCTCACTTCCTGGGTTTTCTGGGCAATATTAGGGTCTGATGGGTGGGACAGCTGGGGTGTTTATCTCTGGCCTCCCAGAGAGAAAGGAAGCTAACTCTTCCCTGTCTAAAAACGTTCAGACCTCCTCCTGGTGCCACAAGAAGCGGGGCCATGTGTAAACCCCTTTCTTCTCAAGTACCCACCAGCTGGGGAGCTCTTTGAGGGCAGGGAAGCCGCAGTGACGGCACAGGGCCTGGCAGCGGGCCTGGCACCCGGGGACATCCGTAAGGGTTTGTGGTGCCGACTTTATTCATGTATGCCAGTCTCCAACTCCCCAGAGACCCCAACTGGCCCTCGGCAAAGATGAAGCTCTGGGGGGCACCTGCCTGATCAGGTGGGCCAGCTGTATGCCCTGCTCCCCTTTGCCAGCCCCTCGGGCCACGGGCCTGGGAGGGTCAAGCCACTAGCTTTGTGAGGGGTGTGGGCGGTTTGCTTGCTTGGGTCACTTCTGCCTGTGATGGCTTCATTTAGCAAAGCTTCACTGAGTCTGCTGGGCCCCTAGGGAAAGTGACATGACTCAGATGCAGCCTTTAGTGTTCGGGGATCCCACAGTCCTATTGGGAAGGGAGGCAGGTGCCACCCCCCCCCCCCGCCCCGGGGTAGAGGCTGTGAGTGCCAGGAGAGGGGTCTCCCTGCTGTGGGAATCGAGAGGCTTCAGGGAGAAGGCGATATCAAATTGGGCCTTGAAGGATAAATGGGGCTTATCTCGGGGTACGGCGAGACAGTCCAAGCAGGAGAAAGGAAAAGTAACGGATGGGGTACCCACTGTGGGCCGGAGTGGACACACGCTTACCCAGCTAGTTCCCTTCCGGCCTGCATCACTTGAGGAAACTGAGGCTCAGGGAGTCCCAAGGTTACTGAGCATGTAAGCGGCAGAGGATTGGAAGCCAAATCTTTGAGTCTCCAAAGCACATTGATTGCTTCTCCTGGAGCTAGAAGAGGTCAGAATCCTGGATTTCAGGTTCAAAAAGGATAATGGTCATCTGGGCCAGCCACCGTCTAACGCCCGCGCCCCCCCCCCCCCCCTGCCTCCTAGCTCTGCTCACTACCTTTATGCTAGCAAAGGCAGCTGATAACAGGCTAAGTGAGACCTTTAAGAAATGTGTAGTTCTTTTTTTCTGATCCCAAAAGTAATCCCTGCTGACTTTCAGAAAATAAAAACATCACTTGTGATGGTTGTACAGCAACATAAATGTACGTACTTAATAGCGTTGAACCGCACGCTTAAAAATGATTAAGATAGTACGTTTTTTCATAATTTTTTAATGTTTATTTATTTTTGAGAGAGAGAGAGACACACAGAGAGAGCGTGAGCTGGGGAGGGGCAGAGAGAGAGGGAGACACAGAATCGGAAGCAGGCTCCAGGCCATGAGCCGTCAGCACAGAGCCGGACGTGGGGCTCGAACTCACAAACCGCGAGATCATGACCCGAGCCGAAGTCGAATGCTTAACCGACTGAGCCACCCAGGCGCCCCGAGATGGTACATTTTATGTTGTATTTTACCACAATAAAAACGATCGATGGTGGGGGAGGGGGAGAAATAAAAGAAAAAAAAATAGTGGGGCGGAAAAAAATCACGTGTGATCCCCTCACTTAGGGAGGACCGCTGCTTCCTTCCAGTCTTTTTCAAAAATGTGTGGTGCTCTGAAAGTGTTTTAACTCGTCGATGAGCGCGCAGAAGATGCCGTTGGTGACCCGTCCTTCGCCCTGGCGTCCCCTTGGCATCCTGGGGTCTGGGAGGCGTCAGGCTTGGCCTTCAGACGAACGAAGTCCTAGCTCCAGGGCTAGGGTGACCAGTTCATCTTGGTGTGCTGGAACTTTCCCAGCTTCGGCACTGCAAGTTATGTGTCTGGGAGCCTCTGTGTCCCACACAAACCTAGGTGACTGGTCACTCTAGCCAGGACGACTCCCCCGCCACGTAGACCCCTTCTGCAGCCCTGGAGAGGCCCTAGCAACACGTGCACGTGGGCTTGTGATTTTTGTAAAAGATCTTTTTCTGAAAGAGGGAACCCCCCCCCCCAACCATATCAGCTTCAGGGCCTTTTCAAACCTGGATCTACCCTGGAACCTGAGCCGCGGGGGCAGGAGCAGGACCTCCGACACCACCTCAGCTCCTCTCTGCCCCTTGTTCCCTCGCTGGCCCCCAGGCCTGGTGAGGTGACCACTCACGGCAGGAATTGACCGCTTTGGTTAAGGCAGAGAGGGAACCAGCGAGCCCAGGCGATTTGGACCTTTCCTGCCTCGGGTGAGGAGGAGACGGCTGAGCCGGGGCAGTGTCGAGGGTAAGCGCAGAGCCACCTCTGACCCCGCTGGAGGGAGATGGGGCTGTGCGGGCTGGGAGCCGGGAGAAGGCTGCCTCTGCCCGCTTCCCCGGGCACCGGCCATGCCCACCCCTGTGCCTTGGTCTCCCCATCTGAGTGAGGAGGTTGAGCTGGGTCACAGGTGCTCCGGGACTGCAGCCTGTCTGTGACACCTTTCCCTATCCCTGGAGCTGTGGGGGGGCGGGGAGCTGAGCTCCGGCAGGGAGCGACCTGATTTCCTGTAAAAGACCACCTTCTCCGTGGGCTTCACGGTCTCCCTTTTAGAGGGTTGCACTGGCCTGTGGGGAAGGGATATCGGTGCTGGTAGAGGAGAGGGCTGTTGGTGTTTTAATGTTCAGTTTGAGCAAAATAAATGATAAAATGTCTGAAATGGTGGCGTTTTCAGGATTGATTTCTTAAAGGCCTTGAGTGTGACACCCCAGGATTCTGTAAGTAGGGTAGGTGTCGCCGCCCCAAATGACAGAGGTACAGCCTGGACGTCTGCAGTGTCCACATTCGGTGCGCTCCCTGTGGCTTCCCTGTCTAGGTTGAAGTGGCCCCAAGGGGGGCTTGAAGGGGTGTTGTTTTTACCAGACCCCCTCAGTCATCCCAGAGAACCCTGAGTGTAAAAGCTGAGCTCGTCCTGCACCAAAATCAGGGAGCTGTGCTTGGGGTAAAAGGGGTCTGGGGTGGAGATAGAGCCTCTGGCCAGCTCTGGCATTCAGTCATTCGTTCCACACATGCCAAGTCCCTGCCCAGTACCAGCCTGTGTGCCCCATCGGAGACGCTGTCAGTCCAGTGACAAGCACTGTTGGGGAGGCTTGAGATGCTACAAGAAGAAAATCCAATAGGGGTGGCTACCTCTGCCAGGGGAGCATGGAGGGCTTCCAGGGGGAGGTGGCTTCTGAGTTGGTTCTGATAAAGAAGCGGGGAGGGGCATTCCAGGTGGAGGGAACAGCGTGTGCAAATATCTGGAAGCATGAGGTCTGAGTGGGCTTTAGAAATAAATGATGATGAGCTCTCGGGGTCCTGGGTGTGCGAGTGAGTGACATCACACTCTGTGAATGTGCTCCAGAGTGGCCGCCAGGGGGAAGCTCAGAAAAGGTCTTGGATGGCAGATGTACACTCTGGGCTTCATTTGAGGGCTGTGGGCAGCCACAGAGAGGGGTTTGAAACACAGAAGAGCTCCCTGTGGCTGCCATGGGGAAGCGTGACCTTAAAGGGTGCTGGGGACGAGTGTCCTGGCAGGAAACGTGTGACCTTGCGTGGCCTGTCCTCTCCTAGCACCTGGCACCGCCCTGTCATTTACTCAGGGAGCTACATCCACGGAGGTAGATTACATGCTCCTTTGGCATTTAGCACTAACAGTCTTGGAATCTTCCTTATCTCTTCATCTGTCTGTGGCTGACCTCTTAGGTCTTGGATGGAGTCAGCAGCCAGGAGGTCTTCAGGAGACGCTGGCTGG